ATAGTGAAAAAATAACTTAGACTCGGAAATGCAATGAAAGTAACTTTCATTATTCACACACACATGGGTTCTGTATTCATAATATATCATGAACTATTGCAGTATAATGTGTGGTGCAAGCGTACATTGCCATCGGGCGTCAGAACATGCGATTATGATAATAATTTCAGGATGTAAATCCTGTCACCCACTACACAAGGCAGACATGTTTAAGAGAATTTTACTTCCGGGTATATCTTACATAGCTTATGTGTACACAGAAAAATGGACAATGGTAATCAATGCATATGTACAATGCCAGCTGTTATATACAGCGAAAAGAACTGATTTGCGTATGCAGTGATGTATAATGCAAAAATCGTACAACAAAGACAGGATATTCATGACCATCGAGATGATTAATTTTAAATAAATAGTAAAAGCTATATGAACAAACAAAGGGGGGGGGTCATTCACAGTGTAGGGTGATGTTTTTGCATTCACCTGTGAGGACAGTTTGCTCTCCTGCTCAAGAACAATATTGCACAAAAAGGATATGTTTCTAAAAAAGAAAAGGAAATACACACAGCAAAGGCGTGGCTACTGCACCCGTTCCCCTTATGCTGCGTAGTGGGTGCATAGCAAGTTCTATAAGATCTCATGCACTGAGTCTTTTAAGTGCACACTAGGCATAGGCTACGGCTTTTGTGTTCTGCTCCTAATGGCAAAACTTAAGCATCCCCCCCCCCTTTTTTTTCATTTGAGAAGTCGAACTAAACGCCTTTCGCACCACTTTTAACATTTGCGCTGAATTTGATTCATCAGTAAACATTGGGAAGCTTTCATGGCGTGATTACTGACGTTTATATGCCCTTCATATTTCAAATAGCAGTTCCAGCCATTCTTAAGTAATTTCTGCGTGTAAGAAAGACAGCTCAGAAAAAATAATCTCGTCGAGACGACTTACCACGCAGTAGTTCTGCATAAGTGCAAATTGTTAGAGGCTTCAACAAGGATCTGTACTGACTATCATTAGTTTTTCTTTAAATATGTCGCGACACATGAAGTACGTCGACATGCTTCGCGGAAGGAGCTGTCAAAACTGTTGTCTCATATCAACGTCATCTCGTAAGGTACACAGTCATTCAAGCACGCCAGAAGTACGTTTGATGGTTTCGACGTTCACTTCTTCTATGAAGTCGTGATCGCCGTGTGCTCATCATGCACCCGGTATTTTGGTTTGATTCCACACGACTCTTGTTGTCTTTCGCAGAACGCGATAAGCGAATATCGTTAAATAATCGCTCGTTTGCAGGCCCCTGGCTAATAGACGACAGTAAAGAAAAAACATTTCTTTTTACGAATCTTGTAAGTAAGGCATGTAATAGGAGAGATGATCTTTCAGAGCAGATTAGAGCCCAAAAGGCATAAGGGAGCAGGATCACATAAGTAAGAATTTAATTTTAATACGTTCTGGTATCTGTATCAGTGTGTAATACTATTATCGTTTCTTTTTTTTTTTTGCTTTCTCCTCAAACGTTATTTTGCGCGCTTATATCTTATACTTGTATTCTAAGAATTCTCGCTTTAAACCGGCAATATCTCTGAAGAGCTGACAGCGCATTTAATAATGAATGATTGAGAGCTTCATTAAACCATGCGCAGGTTCAGTACTCGCGACGAATAAGCTGGTGCGTATCAAGCAAAAATGTTACAGATACACTCCATATCTGTCATGTGCCACTCATGTTCTTTATTAAGAGAGACTACAAAATTGAGATTTTCAGGTTTTTCTTTATTGATACAGTGCCTATTAGGCTTTTTTTTTGCATGTGGGTAACGCCCAAACGGAAGAAGGTATATTGGGTGATTTGGAAGGTCTTCAAGAGGGCGGTTGGCATTCCTGTCGACACGAGCACCAATACGTTCTTTGAGATGGGCCTGTGCAGCACCATGGGCGAACTGATGGAGGCACGCAACATTGCACAGCACGAGCGATTGTACAAGTCCAAGACGGGCAGGAGCATCCTCGAGTGTTTAGGCATAACATACCACACACAATGCGGAGAGAAGACAATTGATGGTTGCCAGTCATGGTTCGCGACCGTCTCATCATCCCACCGCTGCCCGAAAACAGTGTACCTGACGCACCACGTCGGGCTCCATAACAAAAGAGCGATGGGCTTTGCAAATAGTGTATGGCAACAGCTACGAGGCGGTGTACGTAGAGGCCGCGCGATACCCAGAGGGAAGGCTTGCTCACGTGATCGCAGTTTTGAATCACACAGGGCAAATGCATCGCGAGCGCCTCGGTGCGTACGGAATACACAGAGGTGTCTGAAGAGCCAGCGATTGTTCTTGCACTGGTGGCGGCACCGGAAGGTGCGGTTGTCATCATCGACTCCCCAGGTGCCGTCCGTGGCTTCGTCTTTGCGCGTGGCCGAATCTCGTGGTAGGCGGCCTGGATACTTCAATCGAGTTATGACAGCAAGGACGGCGGCGAGCTTCAAGGAGCGATGGTGCCGACATCGACGTCATCGCATTTAAAAACTGAAACTGTGACAGTGTTCCTCCTGTAGACTCCAGCTCACACAACTGTCCTACTTGCAGGCGAGCAGGTGGCCCACAACGCGGCTCAAGGTCTCACTCACCGAACTGGGGCCGATTCGGTGGGCACCCCCACCTCCGAGAGCGGGGTGATGACACCATTATTAGCACAACAGCAGCAACCGCAATAGTCGTGGGGTGATCCTCTGACCACATTCAAAGACTATATACAGACTAAACAGACGCAAATACCTACCACCACACACCAAATTAAACAAAAGACAGGCCGTCACTTTCAGGTTATTACAAACAGATACGTACCCTAGCCCGGCGATCCTACGCCTGTGTTGTCCATGCGTATACCCTATGGAGGCGTGTAAAGTGTGTTAGTACAGGGCCAGACTGCGGTACATGCTTTAGGAGCGTGCCGGAAAAAGTAATGTCGCTACCGCCACTCACTTCGCGGCGCATGTTGGGCAGGGAGAAGCTCTGAGGCGAATTGTGGCTGCTGCCACCACGTGAGGGCAAAGGCCAGCCGCCACGTCGTCAGTGTCGTAGCCGCTGGAAGACGGCACTCTCCAGTGATGAGCAGGCAGACCAGCTCCGGGCCGTCCAGCAAGCCCACAAGTCAAGGACTTCAAGCGGTCACTTGAGGCACCCCCATCTTCACCGGCGGAGGGTGGGAAGGGACAGGGGTTAATCCCCTCTTCCGACCGCCTCGCTTGAAGGAAACTGCTGGACTTGAAATAAAGTTAATTCAGTCATTCATTTGCGTGCAGTGTACTTTTTGAAATAAGATATTTATTAAACTTATGGTTTATATCTCTCGCTTACAAAGAAGATTAGCTGAAAACATGTCCTGGGAATAGTTTTTGTTATGCAATAGCAAAGTGACATAGAATTCTCTTTCAACTCAAGACAGCGAAACGTACACAAGTAACAAAGGTGGGTATGAGTGTCATGTTTCATGTTTGGATATGCTGTCAGGTATGACGCGCACCAAAAATACGTGAAGGAACACAGAATAAACATTCTGTTTTAATATTTTCGGTTCGTACCATAACTGGCAGCCCATCGCAACAAGAACACGTAACTGCTAGCCCCTGTTGCAGCTTTAATAGATTTTCACAGGATAGGTACGATTATTCTTTCGCCATTTTGGTATAAACTGGCAAGATTTATTGAGCTCCAGTATTTCTTTTGTGATATCGTGTTCCCAGATGACGGTTGGTGTGTTCAAGGCATTGTAGAGCAATGACTTAATTGATCATTGCTTTCTATATTGGCTCATATATCTAAGCAAGAGCAATTATTGAACCCGTAATTAAAGTTCGGGAATTCTGCGACATTTCCGGTTCTGATAACTTCGAGCCTCCACCTTTTTCCGAACATCTTTCTTGGTTTGATTAGCACGAAAAAAAAAGAAAGAAACCCGTATTCAACCAACCTGCCGAAAACAACAAAAAATCATTCCGTTGTGCCCACATCATTATTGCTAAGTGTGTGGAATCCGGCTTTCCTTCCTGTTTATTTTTATTGCACGCAGAACTCTCGCTCATTTTCGAGTACCGGGTACGAGTGTGACTGTAAGTTTGATACCTGTTCGAAAATAGCTTGCGTACAGTGCAGACTAAGACGAAAGGACAAAAATAACGACAAAGACGAGCGCTCAATTCTAGCTCTCGTTTCAATTGCAAAAAAAATATGTGCACATAATTATGTATGCAGGGTAGTGAACGCCCTAAATCATAACACGAGAACCAACACCATTGTGCAACATCATCAAACAGTATTTAAGCGAATGTAGCTGTCATACTAACACGATTGAGAGCACACGTGGGATTTCAAGAACTCCGATTCTTTGTATGTTAGTGCAAATGACGACTTGATGAGCTGCCATTCTTGATTGTTGTTGCTTCAGTAATGATTCTCGTAGTATCACTGGGATGCCTTGTCAATTTAATTGATACGAAGTCATTTTTTGCAGTCTCGTTTTATTATTAGTAATAAATGTGCTTAAAATAGAAGACCGATTTTCTCATACTCAAACACTGCTTCATAAAAAGTGCCGTTGATTGTCAGTGAACATGGGAGTTGTTTTCTCATCAGTATGTAAGAAGAGGGGGGGGGGGGGAGGTCCTCCTGGCGTCACAGGATATAGACACAACAACTTCGGTGCGTGAATTGGTGTGTTTCTTGGACACATGGCGCAAAGTGATGGCCGTGGGAGTGTCCAGGGCTCGTTCATTGTCTAAAAAAATTCGTCGAGTAAAGTTTTCTTCTCTCTTATCCTCGTTCATTCGCGGTGTCATACGTTCACAAGCTTACGCAAAAAAAAAACCTAACCACCAACAATTTTTAGCTTGTGCAATGACTTCAGATCTAGTGTTCTGAGTGCACAGGAACTAGGATTTGAAAGTTTAAGTTTCTACAGGCAAAAAATAAATAATTAAATGTTCCTACGATCTTTTCAGGTGGTACAGAGAGCTCGGCGGGCGGCTTCTGGACCTAACCCGAGACCTCAGGACAACGCAGACTGATGGGTCCTCATGCTGTCAGCGCCACTTGTCAGAGACAGCGGCAAGTATTTCTGCGTCGTTAATAACAGCGTCGGCGAGGAACAAGTGCGTACTACGCTTTCCGTTACCGGTGAGTTCAGTTCTTCTTCGCCCCTTGGTTCAGAAGTTCAGTATTCTCATTAGAATAGCTCGCCATGCCTTTGCATGTAGCTTCGTGCTGTTCGGAAGAATCCGCTGTGTGGCTAGTTGGTGAATTTCTTAGTATGAAGTATATGCAGTGCGAAGAAGCGATGATAAATAAACGAGTATTTCCTCAGTGCCAGTTTACAGAATGTCTTCTATTTCACATAATAATAATAATAATAATAATAATAATAATAATAATAATAATAATAATAATAATAATAATAATAATAATAATAATAATAATGTTTATTTTTCATCAATAGTTTGATGAAGGACAGCTGCAGGTAAAAGCTGCTCTTCAAAAGAGGCAGCTTGACAAAGACCCACAGCTACCTTTTAGCATGACAGCAGTGGCAAACAATCAGCAATGTGAAGTCAACAACGATAACAACAACACCAAATAGATAAAAAATAAAAAAAAGATAAAAATCAAGTCCAAATTACAAAAATAAATATAGCAACCATGATAATACAGCAACTGCAAAGAAATCTTAAAAACTAAACATGTGTTTATCGCGCAATTGAATCTGTGTACAGTGTAAAAAATCGATGCCAGCTTTCAAATATTTATTAAGTAACGTAGGAACTATGTAGGATAACTTATCTGTGGAGTAGTTTGTTCTCGAAGTTTTTATTTTCCGTGTTTTTTTTTATTTCGTAATTCAAACAATGTAATATTTGGCTGCAGTTTTGAGAGGTCATACAAAAAATGTCGACTTTCTTTCAATTCACGCCTGATTGCCAATGCTAACTTATGCTGCAAATAATAAGCATGTAATCAGGTCATGTGCTGTTTACGCTGTGAGCTGATGAAATGATAAATGGTGGTACCAAATTAATGATGCGAGAACAATTGGTAGCCTACGTTTCTTGCTAGACTGAAAGGTTCTTCTCTGGCTTCAGTAGAGCATCTGCGCCTTTTGCCACTCATTCCAAAAAATAGAGTGATAACATCGACGAAGACGGGATTTCAGAACCCCTAAATATAGTTCGAGCAATAAACTACGTTTTTCAAACATTTAAACGCCGTCTGCGTTTCGTAAATATAAAATCAGGAAACTTTGTAGGTTTCGCGGAATTCGCTGACGACCGCAATTTGCTAAAAGCGCCGAGACAGCGATAATGAATATGGAAGCTGACGCACGTGAAGACAAATGCACCTGTTCTGTCACCCTAAATAAGGGTTGGCACGTTTATCCAATAACCAGTTTTATTGCATTAGCAATAGGACCACTAGCTCAGAAAAAATTCACAGATAAGATCAGGAGCCGACGTCATGCGCGCAACTACGGATGTTGGCTGATCTGAAAGGTTGTAAAGGACATGGAGGTAAGATAATGGGGACAACACGCTCGTGAAGTTTGCATCCAAACGAATAATAAGATTTTTTTTTACGGCAGGATCATAAATCGGGGTTTATAGTGCCACAACCCATCGATCTAAACACTACGCCAAATCAGCAATCCTCATAGGGCAAATTATAGCATCTTTTAAAATCACACGCTAGTAGGCCGAGAGTTCTTACAACGTGATGCCGGTACGAGCCAACAGGAATAGGTTCATTATTCTTCTGGAAAAGATAGCTTTACTTATACATTTGTCAGGTTCACATGCTTTCGCATAACTATCAAGCACTGAACTTTTACGTATCAGGGTTTGCTGAAGCCGGTGTAGTTGGCTTATTTATAAAAATAAAACATCCCATTAAAAAAAAATTCCGCATATTTCACGTACCTAGGAATCGACATGATGCGTAGCATGCGGAAATAAGGTAACCGCGTTGCATTTTTTCTAATTGAGCGACACGTCGTAAAATCACGCCAAATATATGTACGAATGTTGCACGTAGAGACATATGTTGGAGAGTTGCAGATGTTCATATGACCAGTTGTTTGCACTTGCACAACGATGCCAACTGTAACACGCGTATTAGCTACAGCAGAAGCTGATACGAAGCGCTGATGCTCGCGAAGGTGCTGGCCCTGGACACTGGTACATGAATCAACTTCAGCGAATGGCAACTATCCACACAATTGAAATTGACCCGACGTAACGGCTATATCAAAGGAGTGCATATGTAATATTTATAAAATTGGTGGGCAGCGCTGCAACCACTATTGACGTTTCACGAAGATTAGCGTACATTTGAAAAGTAATTCCGAGGCCTGGTGTAGCTCTGAGGTAAAATGCTTCATTGCCACGCAGAATGCTTGGGTTCGATTCTAGCTGAGATCCTGACATTTATTCTTTGCATTCGTTGGGTCGATGCTACCGACGTCAGGTATTTCTTAACGCTTGCGCGTTGAAATTGCCCATGTGTGTTGTCGTTGTGCCTAGGTCGATACTAAGTGTCAATCACCTGTGGCGCATACCCACATGTCAGCGGCACATACCCAGCCCTGGGTATGTGCCACTGTCTGGCGGGAAGTGTTTGACGACGTACGCGACGGGATTGTGACACTATTCGTGTCTTGACCAGCACGTCACATTCGTCTGAGGATCTTACCCTCACATGCTAATTTTGGTTCACGCCACGTTAAGGGGGTGACCACGAGAGCACCCAAACGTAAGCGGCTAGATAGATAGATAGATAGATAGATGGATGGATGGACGGACGGATGGATGGATGGATGGATACGCTCAAAGTCGCCGAAGTTCACCAAGAAATGTTTCGCGTTTAATAGCAAGGCATAACTAATAAAAGAAATAGTATGCTGTGTTTAGCCTGTAAACATAACGCTATAAGAACGTATTATCGCAGGCCGAAATGACGATATGATTACGAGGAACGCCGTAGTGAAGGGCTCTGGAAGTTTCAAACATTCAAAGTTCTCTAATGTGCACTGGCATTGCAAAGGTCCTCGTATTATTTCGCCCCCATCACAATGTGACCATTCACTTTGGGATCAGACCTGTGGCAGTTTGGTCAGCAGCGGAGCACCATAACCACTGTTCCAGAAAGGCGAACTATGAGGAGACATATAGTTTATTGTGAAGACATCCATGTTTGACACAAGCCAACTCGATCACGCTACAGGCATGCCGGTGATTTTAGAAGAAAAATACGAGAGTGACTACGGCGTTTCGGTAGGATACTACTCCTACTCCTGTGTTGTATCCACCAAAAGTCATGCATTCTGATCATTGTACTGCTACACGCGATTTTTTTACGTGAAAATATTTTAACTTATCTTTTCCATTGCATTTGCGAACAGCACCGTTGAAAGTCGAGTTGTTTCCGGCGGTTCAGACGGCCGACGTTGGTCAGCCAGCGGTATTCAACTGCACGGTGACTGGACACCCTGTGCGGTCGTTGTCGTGGTACAAGGACCAACAACCTCTGGAGGCCAGCGCCCGGGTTTCTTTTCTTGCCACGGGCATGCTGCGCATAAGTTCTGTGCTCCGAGAGGACGCCGGCATGTACCAGTGCTACGCACATAACGAGGCCGACTCAGCGCAGGGGTCAGCTGAACTGCGACTTGGGGGTAAGCAGGACGTTTCCATTACTACTTCTTTAGAGCTAGGAATGACAAAGCACAAGAAGTGGCTGTGTACTTATGATGAGGTTAGTTTCAGAGATGGGTACAGAGCGAGTATAAACTGGAAGGATTTACGTAAAAATGTTGTGAGCTGCAATATTGCAGAATAATTTTTACTAACGGTTCGATCGTTCATTTCTTTTCATGGCTGCATGTTGGTTGTTGGCTCTGCAACCTCTTCTGCAAGGACGGTCGAAGCATGTATGGTGAAGTAAAAAAAAGGGAGAAGTATGTAAGAAAACCATTGTTGAGACTAATTAAACCTAATAGGAAGTAATTATTTTCAAACAAGCTATTCATTGTGTACGATTAATTAATTGGCAAAATATATTGATAACCTAAACACTTTAATCATGATTGAAATGAAGACTCAAGTAGGTTAATTACAGTCCGCAAGTCCATCGTCTATAACCACAAGCGATCAACCGTATATTGTTAAACGAGAAGTCCGAACCGAAAAAGGACATACGGGATGTGTTAAGTGAAGATGAAAAGTGAGCGTGGCGATTGTAAAGCAGATGAAGACGAAAATTAGGTACCCGGAGGTTACATGGAAGACTGGAGAGTTTGACGATAAAATGGGTCTAAATTGGCAGTTGATTCTGACAAGATGAAAAAATTGGTCGCATTGATAACGCGTTATTTCGTATTTGTCGCTAAGGGACAACAGATTTATATGTCTATTATGCTTTTATAGTGTAAATAAGTTTTACAATCAAAATTTTAGAAAACCGTGTGGTTCTGTGCCCCAATATTTATCCCGTTCACAATAATATGTAAACGACAATATTTTCGGTGTGTCTCTAGGGTCAAGTTCAAAAGCCTCTTCTACTTTTCAGAAAGGAGTGTATGTAACTGTGAAAGGGAACACTCCGATTGAGCTCGGAAGTAGACAATAGAATAGAAACATACACAGATCGTACATAGATTGTCAGGGCGTTTGCCTCAGTCTCCAAGGCTTTTTGAAAAAAAGATGGTGATTTTCTTAAGAACAAGGCCATAATGATCACATGATCACTTAGTTTCTCGCGCACTTGGGCCAAAGGTTTGATTCTCTAAACAACGTCACTGGATTTCTAGGACGTCGCCAGTGCCAAGAGGCCAGTCGAAGCCAGAGGGTTCCTGGACTAGGGAACCCTCCCACCTTAGGTGACACCGGGCCTCGCTCGGAACACTGTTTCTAAATAAACGCTTATTTCTCTCTCTCTCTCTCTCTCTCTCTCTCTCTCTCTCTCTAAACAACGTCAACGCCGTTGCCTAATACGAGGCGGGCATACTAAGTATATGCGTGGGAGTTAAGAGTTTGGCGTCCAAACATTTCCGGGACATTTGATCAGTTTTCGTGAATTCTCAATACACTACGATCTGGAAGGGAGACTATTTATCCCACTAGGGAAAAGCTCACAAGACCACACATTATGACCCTTAATATGCTACAGACTAACAGCTAGCCTAATCTTGTTTTACTACACTGCCTATTATGTGCGCTTAACGTCTCCTGCCAAGATGTAACATTTAATATCTGCATAATTTTATAGCGCTTGATACCTGCAACAGCGCGTGCTATCTGCATTTTTTCTGTGAGCGTTGAAACAGCATGGCTCCGCTAGCACCTCAGTGTACATGAGCCCTTTTCAGTGGAATACTGATCAGTTTCGTGTTCGGAATAATTTAGAACTGCGAATAACATTCATTTTGAACTCATAAAATACCTTGCGAACTTGTGCCTGTAAAGCGTGCTTTGCTTCACTTATAAACTTATTGCGGCGAAGCAGTTAGAAGGTGTCTTTTTTTTTACTGTTGTTTCGCCGCAAGAACCAAGTCTATCAGGCAAAGCACTCTTCACAGGTGCAGGTTGGCAAAGTACGCCACAAATTCGAGATGGCCGGTGGAGAAGGCTGATCATCGTGGTCCTCTGTTATGCAACCCACTCCTTCTTCAAACTTCCAATCAATTATGGTAGAGGGGGACAGTGGGAGAAAATAGTACGGGCTTTTCATAGACTCTGTATCGTACCCTAATGATCTTTAACACAACGAAAACAATATTTTAAAAATCAATTTCACGTCTGTCCGATAGATGTCCGTGTTCTCAGTTTATAATGCCTCAAAGCATTGTTTCACTCTTGCATATTTCAACACGTAATATTCCTGCCTCCTTATTCTCATGAAGTATAATTATGTTCAAGGGGCAGGGTCCTTCATTGTGTAATGAAACTTGCAATTTTTGTTAGGCCACTTGCGGCATTGCTCTATTTCGAATAGAACATTGCTCTATTGTCTCACAATCGCTGAAAAATTTGTTGTCTCAAAATGTATTGCCCTGTGCACTGTTGCAATGTTATTTAAAAAATGAATTTTCTTCACTATACGTCTACGTACCAATCGATTTCGCTCGACAAATCACCATGGAAACTTGTACGTGCAGTCCAGTCGAAGGTATATGTATAATTGATTTCCTTTCATTGCTTCGTTCAAGAAGGACACGGACCATCTCTGCGCAACCTATATGATAAGTCATGCGAAGCACATGATGCATGTGCAAATACACTATCGCTCTGTTTTGTCAGACTATGAAAGTTTACGACATGTCACGTGTCCCGATGCGCGTAAGTGTGGGAGGAAAGCGAAGCAGGCCGACGATAAATTTCTGAATATCAACGTTCATTCATCTGGTAGTTGGCTGCAAGTACAGCAGGGAAGCTTGCCGCCGCTACTTACATTCGTTCACAAAGGCGACCATATTCTTGGCAGCGAAAATAACGTCATCCGTAAGTTATGTTGCTCTTCTACAAAAAAAGCAACGTTGGCGCTTTAAAAATAACGCTACGCTAACTTATTTTGCTCATTAGGATACAAGTGTAGAGGCAAAACTCTTAGGTACTTATAAAATAGTAGAGATTCTCATCTTGCTACATTGCTTACACCATCCTACGTTTTCGTTTACTGGTTACTCGTTGCAAAACTAAGATAGTTTCCAGAACAGTATGATTTCAATAATATCAATAAAAATGTCTGCTCATATCGCCCTGTCTGGAGGTTATGTACGATCTCTCAGCAGTGACCAGCAGTTTTGCTTCGCTTTTAAATTGTCAATTATAGCGCCATTAAGTCTTTCGCCGTTCGCTGTATCGCTCTGTAAGTCATCGAGGCTTGTTCACTGTATAATGCAGCAAATAATTTCTGCACCATGCCTTTAGGCCGGGCACCGCGTTGCGACATTTCGAAGTGAAGCCCCTACATTTGTTGGGCAATATTCGCTACCAGGTTAATATCTCATTAGTCGTAGCTATTAATCGCTTCGTTTTACAATTTACACAATGCTATTACACAACCGTCCACATCTGATACTTAATGCCATAACATCCTATACTTCATGCTGTCTGGCCAAGATAGACACTTTCAAGCGCAAAGAAAAGTAAGATGAATTAATGATCAGCTTTAAACTAAACAGCATGGTGTCGCGATTCCGGTTAACAAGCACTCGTGAAGTTTTCTATCTTTTTTTTTTGCAATTATACCTCCTTCTCCCCCCCTCAAAATGTAGAGTACCCAGCTGAGTCAAAGCTTGGTTAAGCTTCCCGACTTTCGTTTTTATTTTACTTCTGTCTTTTTCTTTTAAGCACCGTGGTATAAACCCAGACACTAACTCATTTTTTTTCTTTTCCTATGTCCGTTTCTGTTGCACTTTACTGTTAACCATATGACAGCACATTATTTTTAGCAAAACATTGACAGATTATGTGATTTTATTAAACATTCAGGATGAACGCCCAGCCGAGTTACTAATCTTTAAAATAAAATTATAAGTATAATAACCATGAGGTGGACAGAGCTTCTAGCCAAGAAAGTGTCCTTCCCTGGCGTTTACGTAAGCACACGGATGATAAAGATGGATGTCCGTGATAACTTTGGCGTAACAGAGTAATTAACTACGCTCTAGCTCTTTAGTTTGCAATTTTCTGAGAGTGTTGCGGCGCCGGCACGCTTAAAATGGTAACTGTAATCCCGGATCAAATTTCAAGTCATTTCCCCCGAGTGTATCTGCAACAGTACCGTGTCCGCCGCCTGAGTACTTAGGAGCAGCCATGAGTCTGCGTCTGACTGCTTTAAACAGAGCTGTGAAACACAAAAAGTGAAACATATATTTAATGAACGCCGGGTGCAAGCGGTGTGAGTTGGCCGGTTCATGTTTAACGCAATAGCGTTAAAGAGCTAGTGTCGCAGAAATCTCGCCGTCGCTGTCGGCCCCGTTGGTTGTGAGCGAAAAATCGTCTGTGCGTCTTTGACCGAAAAGTCAAGTTACCGAGATAGCCGCGGGAGCGCGCTACTTGTACGCGCGTGCGTGCGCGATCACACCGAAAAAGCCACGCATTCGAAGAAAAAAAATGCTCAAGGCCACGAGGCTCGGTAGTTTCTTTTCTTTTTCGCAGATGGACTTAGAATCAAGTTATAAGCTTCTAAGTGCAATGCTGGAGAGATCTGGTTGATTAATTTGGATTTGCGAGATGAACAAATTGTGCGATTGCTATTTGCGTAACTTAGCTGATGAACATTGTCAATACTGAGTTCTCGCAAGATATAGAATACCGCTGTGGAAGGTCACTTGAAGAAGTTGTTTCATTTACGTCAGTCATTGAGAGAAAATGCCCCTAGGAACAATGTTACCAAGGCAGAGCGGACGTTGTTTGAGGGAAGATTAAAACATAAAAGAGATTAAGACAAAAACCAAGTATAAAGAAGCAACCAAATAAAAAGTTCGAGACAGATAAAATAATGACACTGAAGTACATTCTTATTTAAAGCCAAATGCGTCTAGTATCTCTCGTACAACTTCATTTTGCAACATGTTTTTCAGCATGCCGTGCTACACACCTATAATGTCTAACTTCACGTCACAGCAATACTTAGTTAGAACCTCGATGCTTGGTAGTTCAACTTGCTGCAGATTTTAAACTGCTCTTTGGACATTGTTATTATTACTCCAATCAGTGTTCCGGAGAATAATGGAGATATTTAACAAACATGCAACGCGAATTACACCACGTAAAAGGAAAAATATAGAAAAAAAGTAAATATAATATTTATAACAACTTTGTCCTGTCGTGGAGTGGAGTACATCACTAATAATAGGTTTGCAATCTCATTCGCATTGCATTTTTTTTTCATATTTAAAGCTACGTGAGTTTGCAGGGTATAGTCGTGGGTATTGCCTAGTTAAACTAGGAAACACTCGGCAGCTTTATTAAACTCAATTGTCCTTATAATTTAGGTGCAAACTAAAATTTAAGAACATTCTACGTTATTACATATCTTCATTCATGCAACCAAGGCAATGCTGTTATATCGGGTGCCTTCCGATACAATTCAAGATGTATTACGAGTAGACTCCACCAAGAATCTCTTGGAATACTTGCCAAGAGTGCATGATTGGCACACATCAGGGAGCTTGAGTTCTGTTTCACGGACATTTCTATGTGAGGCCTATATTTTTATCGCACGACACGATGTTTCACTACCACAATAAAAGTTACATTGTTACACTGAGGTACTGCTGCTCTGTTCTCTCTTTCGTCACAGTAGCAAACGTATGCAATTCCCGAACTTGCATTTAAGGAAGTTCATTGTAAGTCGAATATTTACATGACTATTATCAAGTTTCAAAATATAGTGCACCTACCCACTAATAGTGCGATGACTGTAGAAACATCAAAGATTGTGGAATTTCTTTTTTTTTTTCTCTCATCCTTATCATCACTTACTTTTCCTACTCACTTGCTGTAGTGTACTATGCAAGGCTTTAACCTCTATTCTCTTCTTTCCCTCTTCCTCACCTTCAATGACGTTTCAAAAACCTCCTCTCCCATCACTGTCCATTAGTATGTTTCGCCCCGCTTTCTCCCTGCTTTGCGTTCACCCCTCTCGCACTTGCTGTATTTGACCCCCCAATTTTTGTGGTGCTTACCAGCCCGAACTTTAGCATGCACTACGTAAGCTTACCCCATGCTTAATTAGATACTCTGTCAAAATTATTTGATTCACAGTGTTTAACCTCTTAATGTTGAAAAATTATTAGAAATGTCCTTGAGAAGAGCTTCGGGTTATTTTTGAATAGCGTAAGCTGCTTACCGAGCAAATAAATATTAACAATTGTTGATGTTATGCGTCTAAAGTACCATAACCGCGATATGATTATAAATTTATGAGTGGTGTTACAGTAACGGGTTCCGAGAATGTCTACCACGTGCGTTCTTTTATCGTGACCTGAATCTAAACAACGGGTTTCAAGCATTTCCTTCTTCATAGAAAGTGTGGCTGCCGCGGCCAGTATTAGATCCCGTGACCTGCGGGTGAGCACTAGATTACCACAGTCACTAGATCACCATGACCGGTGACGTGCGCTTAAAAGAAAAAGCGTGAGTGCTTTGCATTTCACTCGCATTGGCATGCCTTCAGTGGCTGTAGCCGGGAATTCAATCAGCGACATATTTAGTAACCCGAAGTTCCAGTTACTGAGACACCTTGGTGTGTAACGATTACAAGAGACGGTGTATGGGGCCGGCTTTGTACTCGCTGAACTTGTATATCTTAGCCAGCGCAATACAATATACACGAGGACGAGACAAGTAAATTGAATGGGTGCTAGGCATTTCCTGAGAGTTTACCAAACGAGTCTACTGAAAGTGATCTTTCACTTAATGTCTAGAGCACATCCTGGTTACGTGTCTACTCGTGGTGCGTTTGTTTCCCTCTTGTTGCGATATATCAGTTAGGCTGCCACGAACTAGCCCAAACTTTAGCATTGAATAATTTGTGTTCACCTACAGACGTGGCACCCTTCCTGACGTCCGTCTTCGAGGAGCAGACGCTGCAGCCCGGTGCGTCGGTGTCGCTTCGGTGTTCGGCGGCCGGAAACCCGCTGCCGCAGGTCACCTGGACTCTGGACGACGCGCCGGTGCCGGACTTCCACCGTTTCCGCGTGGGCGACTTCGTGACTGCCGACTCTGTGGTCGTGAGCTTCGTGAACGTCACCGAGCTGAGAGTCGAGGACGGCGGCCTGTACGCCTGCGCGGCGGCGAATGCCGTCGGTGAAGCTCGCCACGGCGCCCGAGTGAACGTGCACGGTCCACCCGTCATCCGGCCCATGGGAAACGTCTCCGTTGTCGCCGGCACTACGCTAAGGGTGGTCTGCCCCGTCGCGGGCTACCCTATACACAGCGTCGTGTGGTTCAAAGGTGGGAAAGGAAGCGGTACCACCCTTGTATGAGTGGTTGGTTGTCCTTCTCTAACTTGTCGCAGCAGAGCGCGGAGTATCGGCCATGAAACGAATGGTACCTTGTTTTAGAAATCGAATTCTTGTACGTTCTAAGTATACTTCGTTTTAGTAAACCAATGTCATTGAAAATCAAGCTGAAATACGATAACCCTGACATTCAATTCATCTTGTCTCGCATAGGAAATAACGTTCGACGTCGCAAACGTTCCTGTGGCGAGAACCAAGAATGGTAGCACCAAGTGTATGATACGGTGTTGATTACACATGAGAAAGCTGACAATCAAACCTGCCATTAAGACTGATCATAAATTTGTGGCAGGCTTTGTGATCACATGCAGCGAGAGTTTACGCTGGCATGTCATTTGGCTGCTATTTTTATTTTCATTATCCTACTCTGTCCACCTTTTTCGTTACGGAGTACAAAATATTTTATACCGTCGACCTACTAGTTTGTCGTATTGAAACAGTTAGTTTTTTATGAGCGGCTAAACTATTTCTTTGTGGTTGAAACGTTACTTTTTCCTGTGGGAATTGGCCTTTACGCCAACACATTGTGTATAGGGAGCACTCTAGTGCACAAAGTTGTCGTTAATTAGTAGTTAATCAGTATGTATCTTAGCGAATACGTTAAAATTATTTTATGTTAACGTTGTCTTGAAGCAAAGGTGTCTGTGAAGTGCCAGTTCATAGCTTCTTCACTTTCTCTTTACGTTCAATATATGTGGCCACATTTATGAGTCTCGCAATTCTTTGACGCTATGTACAATTACACAAGAAGTCAAACATTAATATAAACAAAACAATGGTGACAGCATTATTCGCTAATCATTCCTCTATAAACGTTGTAGTGAATAGGAGGATAGCGACGTGTATCTTTCAAGAATCACCCAACAGCCAGCGCATACATTAAACGCAGGATTACACCGAAAACTGTTCTCACTAACAAAGCTGACCTGGTTACATGCGACTTGTTTGCGTCATGTTGTTTTCTCTTTCGTGTTGGTGTTTGCACGATCAGTTTTCGTGAATACCTAATGGTATTTACCTTAAGATGTGTCCTGTGCTTTAAGTATGCATCTGGGTCTAGTTAATTAGTGGACGCGTTATGTAAGTGTCTACATGATCAGTGCAACATTGATGGGGGCAGGAATGGATGAAGAAGTAGCCTATCATGAGATTTAGGGCAGACAAGACATGAAAAACGTGAGGTTATACGACACAGGCGCTGTCTGTCATCTGAAAGTTTAACTAAAAAAAGTGGCATATTTTAACAGAAAGACTGGCACTTGTAAAGTTTTATCACTACGCATAAAGTTGTGTTACTTGAAAATCTGCCCCCGTTGTTTTTGTCCTAATTAGGCAGTGCTCCTCTGCACATAACACGACTGTACGTCATCTAGCTCCGCTCTCTAGTTATGCAACACGTAGGTTCCTGTTAACGCAGGTTAACCTTTGCCTCCCAAAATCCACCAACTTTCGGTTTATTTCCCTTTTTTCTTCGTGTTCACGCCCGCAGCCTTTTCGGGTGAAGCTCCTTTGCACGTTTTTTCCCGTTCGCAGGCGACTCCCAGCTGCCGACCAACCACCGACAGCAGATAGCGCAGAGCTCGCTCAGCGTGCACAACGTTCAGCGAGCCTCTGACGAGGGCGAGTACTCGTGCCTGGCACGCAGCGGGAACCTCAGCGCTCGTGGCAACACCTTCGTCAGGGTTCGAGGTAATTACGCTCTGTACGGGCACCTCCGTCGGCCAGGTTGAGGGTGTCCCTTCCCTCTCGGTAAACCACGAACACGCAGAAAAAAAAAGTGAGAGAGAGAGAGAAATATAGATAGATAGATAGATAGATAGATAGATAGATAGATAGATAGATAGATAGATAGATAGATAGACAGATAGATAGATAGATAGATAGATAGATAGATAGATAGATAGATAGATAGATAGATAGATAGATAGATAGATAGATAGATAGATAGATAGATAGATAGATAGATAGATAGATAGATAGATAGATAGATAGATAGATAGATAGATAGATAGATAGATAGATAGATAGATAGATAGATAGATAGATAGATAGATAGATAGATAGATAGATAGATAGATAGATAGATAGATAAAGAGAGAGAGAGAGAAAGACGTAAAAGTTGCCCGTGGCTCATTGTCTACCACGATGCATCTCTGTGAACGTACCTACGGAGAAGGTTCTGTCTTCCCTTGTAACTGCCCCTGCATACGTTGCGGGTCGACGAGAATGAAAAAAAAAGAAGAAGAGAAATGAATTTCGAAGTAGCGCCGGCACTCCGTAAATTATTCATTCCACGTGATTTGACAAAGGGGGCTAAGAATGTCCTGCTTGTTCCGTGCTTTATTTTTAATGGGATTAACGCTGTATGTCTCTCCTTTCCGAAATTGCTCTCATCAACTAACAGAAGCAAAAAAAAAAGCAGGCCAGGCGCCCTCGCTTTGATATGACGCAGGTGCCCCAATTTATTGCGAAGGTGTCGTGGCTTCCCTTCCTCCCGGATGTTGTATGACTCGCATAGTGGTAACAGATGTGGATTTTAGCCTTTCCGGACAGGAAGGTAAAATGCTAATGCACGGTATACATTTTTGTGCTGTTCCGTGAATGTGAGAGGAAGAGGTGCCTTTTTTAAAATCCCAGCTACTTTGTTTTCATTGTCGGGCACGCTTTTATGACTCCGCTTTATCTTCCTATACGCCCAATGACGTCAGTCGTCTATATACATCAAACCTATTTGCATACGAGAAGAGGAAGGATTGTGCAAGTTTTTCGCGCTCCTTTCTGACGCTAACTCTGATTTACTATGAGAACTTCTTATTAAGGTAGACTGGAGGTGGCACACAATGTAAAAATAATAATTTCAAACTCATAGAAGACAATTTGTTTAAGAGCAAAGTGCTCTTTTTCATAGCAGGTTGGAGACACATCTGCCAACAGTATATGATCGGAGAATTATTGATAACAGCGCTCTTTCTTATGTTCCAGAAATCACTATTGAGCAGCTGAGCTACCTCGTTTATCTATATTTATGTCTAAGAGCGCGTGGCATAAGCGTTGCTATAGTGCTCAGTTTCCGCAAAGCCTAATTCAACGCAGACATATCTAAATTCATATTTGCTTTCTCGGAGCAACAGCAGGATCGGCAACACGTTACTAGCGTGTGAATGAGCCTAAATTCCATCGCCTTTTTTTTTTGGTTGATTGTCGCCTTGAAGCTGCAGATTTAGATATTAGTAACGTCTGACGCAACGTGTAGGGCTGAGGATTAATTTTACGCCCTTCGCGTTCTCTAACATACAATCTTGTATATGTATATGAGCGCTATTGTGTTATGTTAGTGGAGATAACCAGTTCTGACAGCTAGAAATAGAACGCGAGACAGCGGGTAATCTGACGTCTTTGTCAGCTGGTACTGTGCTTCCCCTTTATATAGAGAAGACGTTGGCTTGGGCATTTGCGGAAAATAATGACTCAGCTTTGCATTATTGCTGTTGGTCTGCAGTGTTGGATTAAGTGAAGTTTGTGAGAGAATAAATATAATCTATTTATGTCAGTTTGCTGTTGCCGTATATAGATTGCATTTATCTTGATGCTGAGGCTCTAAGAAAATCATCGACACACTAATTGATCCGAACATGCAGAGCTTGAATAAAAAAAGACTAGATGTGAATTAAGTCTGGTAGAGTGATCAACGGGAAAAGGCGTTGGTCTCGGGTTGGACCACCGGACCAATGTGAATTTTGTCAACTAAACGGCTTCCTACAGTGGAAAGGTGTATAGATTTCTTTGCAGATTGGTGCTCCAGAAAGGTGACTCCCAACTTTCCATTTCGTGCATAGGCATCTGTAGAAAGCCTAAATTTTGCGTCGGATATCTGAGTCATTGTTGTGAATATACTCGTTAAACAGGCACCTAATCTTTTTCCGCTGTGCTAACTTCAATGTTTCTTTCAAATCGGTGCTCTCAAAATACTCCTGGGTCATCTGAGCTGCAGCACTTTGGTAGCGAACGTTTGTGAATGAGACCGAACTATTTACTGGCGCAAAACATAATGCTCGTTTCTGCATTCTTTTAAGTTAACCCTGATGTGCCACTCCCATGACAGTCTGCACTTTTGCTTTGCCTCAGTTTGCGTCCATTTCGGCCCTTTTTCTGTAGGCCCCTTCCCATTGCTCGTTACATAAGCAAGCAAACTGGCCGTTCGTTGGTTTAGGCTCCATGTCTCTCCCATGTTTGCTTCCACATTCTCTCTTAGCTCGGCATTCGCGTCTTGGATGTATTCTTTTATGCTTTCAGAAATTGCCCAGTTTGTAGTTCTTTAAGCTAACGCTCACCGTCTTTTTCTATAGTTTACACATTATGCAAGGCCGCTTCGAGAAAACGCGTTCGATGCATACGTGCCCGCATTGGCTTTCAACAGGGCACTGTGTATAGGCGCCACGTTAGCGGCAGCAAAGCCTGCCAGCTGCTTGGATACGCCGGATTTTCCTAGACAGAATCTCGACAAAAGACGTGCCAACCCTGACTTGCACGCATCCCAGCTTCCCGACGTTCCCCATAAAACATCACTGGGATGTTTTCTTATCCCGACTTTTTTTTCCACGTCGAAACCTTATCTGCGAGCGAACCGTGGCGATTAAAAAAAATATAGGCATAAGTTGCAAAGGAGTATGCGCCCTGGCAAAACCTCCCTATGCTCCGGATCTGTGCACACGCTTGCGATTCCGGGCGCTCGGCACGGTTAGTATACAGCAACCGCTCAGTATTCCGGTGCGGGTCAGCCTTAAACGACGGGAGGAATGGGGGCTTAATGCCACCGCTGCCACACAAGCAAGTAGAAGACGGGTTTCGAGTCATCGAGGAGGATGGGGTTGCATAGAAAGGGGGTACGAGGTTCCACAAGTTCTTTAAGAGGTTTGGTTCCTGTGGGAAAAAGAGAGGCCGTTTTGCCGCTCCGTTTGCCCGTTTCTTCTGCATTTACAGCAGCGCCCCCTGGAGGGCGCCTCGAGGCTTCTACGACGCCCCGTGGCTTGGGGATTTCGAAGGAAGCTTCGGACGAAACGTGAAGGCGTTGTCCCTCACTATCCCCGACCATCCCCACATTCCCTCCACACACCCACCCCCCTAGTGTTCACTCGTTGAATTACTCCTCTCCGTCAGGCCCCTTCCGGAATTCTTCCCATATTCCCTTTTCATCCTGCCACTCTTCCACGAGCCTCATCGCTCTTCAAACGGCACTGTTTCTTTTCCTTCCTTTTTTTTTTTCTATACCTTGGTGCGAGTTAAGATCGGTTTCGAAGTCACGTTTCTCGTACGTGCGCGTGCTTTCGAACGATTCCCGAGCGAGATCCGAAGAAAAAAAAAACAAGCTGGTGTGATTTGCTCGGCGAAAGCGCTACGGCAGCTGTTGGACTAGACTGGCCATGTGTATCAAGCCTACTTCGATCTGTTTGTAGAATGATCGAGTCAGCGTGGTAATGTTGTTTCAAGGGAGATGAATAACCGGTGTGGAGAAGAACACTTCACTGTTTCGTCCGAAAGACATTGAAAGAAGGCACAAGAACTGATAGCGATACCAGTGTATTACACAACTGCATCAATCCGGGTCATTAGTTTTATCGGCCCCGCAAATCCCACCGAGCATCAGGGTTGAGATTATTGGCTGTCATGACCCGCCATGGCGGTCTAGTGGCTCAGGCAGTCGGCTGCTGACCTGTAGGTCGCAGGATCGAATCCTGGCCGCAGCGGCTGCACTTTTTATGGAGGCGAAAATGCTTGAGGCCCGTGTGCTTAGATTTAGGTGCACGTTAAAGAATCCCACGTGGTCTAAATTTATGGAGCCCTCCACTACGGCGTCTCTCATATATTCATATGATGGTTTTTTACGCTAAATCTCAACAATTATTACTTTACAGCTTACTGTCCAGAGCAAGCTTAATACGTACACTCACGCGTGACCTGGACTAGTTTGAGTGAAGCGAGCGGTGAAGCGCTGGGTGCTTTTGCCGAAATAGTATTTCGACACGCTTGAATAGTATGTCGGCATGCATGGGTAACAGAATCCAAAGCTACATGGCCCTAGTACCGATCAAACTGTTTGAGGACACACTGCTAAGCGTTTATATTAGGTTTTCTGACGACTGGACGTATATAATTTAACAAGCGTGGGTTCACGCGCACACAGGAAACCACGAAGATAAGTCACTCGCTCATTTGAGAAACAATATTTGGCGGTAGTGACAGTTAGCTGGCTCTGATGCGCACTGTCTTATCAGGCTCTTTCCATGTGATGAAGAGACTTTTTCTTTATTTCAGTGCCTCCGGTTATTGACAGCCAGATGCTTCCTGACGTGCTGACGGCGAACGAAGGCATGAACGTGAAAATGCTTTGCAGCGTGGTCCAAGGGGACCCGCCCATCACTTTACGATGGACACGGGGTGGTCACACCGTGGCGCGCAGTGCGTCCGTGTCTCTGCAGAGCCTCGAGGACTCCTCGGTGCTGACGATGAAAGGCGTGTCCATGCGGGACTCCGGAAACTACACGTGCGAGGCGTCCAACAGGGCATTGACTGTCAACAGAACCGTTTCCCTCGTCGTCAACGGTATGTATTCACTGGGCGCAACTACCTCTGTACGAACGTTGTACCTCAGGTGCTTGTTGCGATTCTTGATTAAGGTACACGTTCCTGATAAATAACTGAATCACGCTTGTCACTGTCGTGAATGAAGTACGAGAAACTTATTTTGAGGCACTTTTTTTTGCTTGACAAAACTTAGGCGAAGAAGTGGTTATAAGAGGAAAAAGCAGAGAAAGTGAGTCCCGTAACTGTCTGCATCAGCGTGTGACACCTCAACAGTATCTCACAAGGGATGGGGTGAGGAGGGATTAAAAAGATAGAATTAAAGGTATATGAAGAGAGAGAGAGAGATGCGCTGGGACAGCGAGCGAGGACATATGAGGGGATAGGAGAGATAGGAAAGATGGAAACACGGTCACAGGAGTCCGAGGACGGGGCACCACTTGCGAGGAGATGGCGTAGGGCAAGTCCAGTAGGTCAGAGCTATGCTGACGTAGGAGATCGCGAGAGCACAACCGGTCAGCATGGAATCCAGCGACACAGAGAAACACCCGTCAAAGTGGACAGAGAATCGTCTACCATCGTACATCGAATGAAAGAGCATTGAACGCGTCTTTTATTATTGTGAGTTCGGATCCCACTGACGGAAAAATGCGACCTTTTATCTTGTTTTAGTTGTCTTTAATTTATCTTACAGTTTCTGCAATACGGTCAAAAACAATATTTGACGTTTTCTACACTTTTGCCAGCTTACTTGACTGTTGTATCGCCTAAAACTTAGGCGATACAACAGTCAACTAATCTGGCAAAAGTGTAGAAAACGTCAGCGATACAACAGTCAAGTAGCTGGAAAAAGTATGGAAAACGCCAATTATTGCTATTTGAACATATTGCAGTAATTGTAAGATAATCTAAAACAATTAAAACAAAATAAAAAGTCGCATTTTTCGTCAGTGGGATCGGAACCCACAATATTAAAAGACGCGTCCAATGCCCTTCCATTCGATGTACGACGGCAGACCAATCCCCGTCCACTTTGATGGGTATTTCTCAGTATGTAATCCCGGGAAGTGCTAGTGTAGGATTTTGTTTCGAATAATCAATGCCGCTACGATTTCATGATCCACTGTTTAAGCCTAAAGAGAGCTTGAACAGTGGACCGGGTTTTCCAACAGTGATCTAGTCGCTGCGGCAACTGACTCCTCATCCGAATGACGCGGGTCCAATCCTGACCGCAGCAGTGGCATTTTAAAAAGGTGAAATGCTAGACACCCATGTATGGTGTGATGTAAGTGCAAGTTAAAGAACTCTATAGATTGTCCTGAATTTCTTAGGCCTTCCACGCTACGTCCCACGTCTTGACCTTATAATGGTTCTCGGACATGAATCTTCAGAACGTTTTCTATTAGGAATGAACTGTACTGCTATACTAATTTGTACAAAACTCATCGATAGCATTATTCGCGTGTTTAATTGTATTTAACCTAACGTTTGAGCCCAATTATGGCGGTTCATATACAAGTTCCCTCTATCTCCATCAGTCGTACCCTACTTCTCTCTAAACTAGCGATATAGGATCAACGCCCTCAGCCAAAAAGTAGCCGCAACCAGTGAAATGAGACGGCGTTTTCGAGTCGTCGCTCCTACGTCCCAGCGTATTTTTCTTTATCGATTCGCGCTGCCGCCTTTTTCACGCGTATATGTATGCCCCGCAGTTCTTCGCAACTTCGGCTGACCGAGCAAGTGACGCGTCAAGATGCCCAGACAGATAGCGCTCGTCGCGACTCTAGGACCAACGACTCACGGCGGGTCCTAGCCAAAGCTGAGCCCTACAAGAACAGCGTTTGTCCCTTCCCGCTTCCGAGCAGCTTCCCGGTCGTGGTCCGTTGGGCGGCCAGTGTGGCGGACCGTAGAGAATGGAGGAGGCGAAGGCGGCGGGGCTAGCTATCCTTCGGAGAGCCCGGCGAGGAGACACGTGGTTTGCAAAAGTGCGGTGATTTATCGACACAAATCTGAGCGCGTTCGTGCGAGACATGCCACCGTCTGTGCGTAGGTGGTGCGACCAAGACTGCCGGTCTTCTTCGCTCTCCTCTTCTTCCACATTCTCTTCTCCTCCCCTTTCGCGCCGCTGTCTCGCTTATTCTCCCATATTTCCTTGCATCGTTCATCGCAATTTGTTTCCCCATTTTCCCGACCCTCTCCCACCGTTTGTTGCGCAAACTCTGCACGTATACTTGAAGCTTTCCCGACTACTTCATTCCAGTCCCCTCTTCGTGCAGTGGTCCTTTTGTTCTCCCTAATCTTCTCTCACTTTTCCTAATCTTCCAGACTTGCCTAAACACCTCTGGCTTTCATTTCTCTCTCTCTCTCTCTCTCTCTCTATACCACATTGCCAAATTTCCTGGTCTTCAGTGGCGTTAAACCCCCTTTCCGCCCACCTCTGCACTCCCCGACCCTTTTACAGTTCACCCTTTCTCGTAGCGTTCCCTATAGTATCCCTCCTCCTGTTCCCCTGCAAAGCATTCGGTGTTGGTGGTTCGGGGCGACGAGCTTTTGTGGCCACGCAATCGATTGGAGCGCCAAAGTGGACGGCGGCGAGTTGTGCTCGGCGGCCGCCTGGCTCGCTCGATCTGTTCGCGTGTGCATGTGTGTGTGCGTGCGTGCAGCAGGACGCCAACAGCGTTCGCTCACTCGGCCGGAGCCGAGATAATGGTTCCTGGATGCCGTCAGATAAACAAGGATGGACGAACGAATGCCACGCGGCAAAGGCTCCTCCCCGAGTGGCATTGCATGCGGCCGGCCTATTTGCCTCCTTTCCTTTCACCTCTGACTTTTTTTGGCGTCGTCTATTTGTTCTCAGCACCCTTCTCATTTCCCTTCGTCGCTCGCCTGTCGGAATGTCTTTTATTTTCTTCCGTGTCTTTTTTTTTCTTCTTTCACTGTGGCGTCTTAGACGAAGAATAGTGTCCTCCATCTTCGCGGGGATGTAATGAGAAACGTTCGATTGGTGCTTACGAGATTAGGACGAAGGCCGGACAGAATTTATGGCTTGTCCAAGGCGGTTTTGACTAAGAATAATGAACTTGAGTCCGAGAAAGAGTTATCAGTTTACACACAAGCGAGCAAAAAAAAAAGTTGGAGTGAAGAAGCCTTTTTTTATATTTATGCTATATTCAGCTGCGATAGAAAAGTGTATTCGCTTATAAACACTGACGATGATGTGACTGCTACGTGCGCGTCTATGTGTGCCTTTTTTTCATGCGTTCATGAATTTTTAGTAAAGGAGTATAAAATATGAACGAGCTGTGATAGCATACCGCGGCACTCAATCGGATTACAACAGCGCCGAGCTCTCCAACAAGACTTCACTGGAAGCCTTCGACAAATTTCTCGTCCTTTAGTAATGAGTTTTATAAGTTAGGCGTATGTCTCTACGTCATACACAAGTATCCGTTTAAATTGATTAGAAGTGTGTTACGGCAATGATATATTTCACGATCTCGTTTGTAAGCCGCATAAGGACGGACTGGTCTTCTTTTGGACCGGACTTGTTTTTTATGATCATGCTTTATTTTAGAGTACCATGGTAAAGAAGCCTTCGAAGCCTTGAATTCTATTCAAATACCACTAGTTTGAGTTTGAGAGAGCAAGAATGTCTTCGTAGGTTTCTGCTGTTCGTACTGCTAGCTCAATGCATGACTGCTCTTTCTAACTGGTGTACTAAGTTATTTGTGTATGCTTATTAAATGTTTCAGCCGACAGTGCAGTGTGTAGATATAATTTTGGTCTTATATAAATAAGAATAACAAATATTGTAAGGAATTGAGAATGAGATTGAGAAAAGCAAGATAATGTACAAGTGTGGCACCTACACGTGAGGTAAAGGTATGGTGTTCATACCACCAGCTGCTGTACAATAGCACAGCTCAGTATTCAGCGTAGTATGTGTTTCGCAAATTGCTACCGAACAGAGACACATTTTTTTGTAATAAAGGAATGATAGTACTTTGTAATGATATCCTGAAAAAGGTATATGTTAGACGACAAATAATTTTTCTCGCGAGCGTGTTTGTGACGAATGGAGTTAGAGCATAATGACCACAGGTATTGCGAAACGATGACTGTTATAACTTGAAGAAATTACGTTGATTTCGTGGGACGGAGAGGAAGTACTGCCGAGGAATTTGTTTTTTTATTTCAATAGTTCAGTCATCAGGACAAATATTTATACTTCAATCTATGGCCATTACTGGCACATAAGACAGAAGGTCAATCTGTAGGCCTCAATGAGTCCGCCTTTTGAGTAATGAGCCATCAGTTGGTTCTCTTCACGGCAATAAGACCCACTGTTTGAAGGTAGTGTCATCGAGTCTGCTTTATGCAAGGGTAGAACCACAAAATATGTGTAATGATCTCAGAAAATGCTGAAGCCGGACTTCGTAAGCAGCTTACGATTCGTTCTTTTACAACCTTGAGCAGTCGGGATGGTGGCAATATTTTCTATAGTGGTGGCAATATTTTACGCAGTGGGCTGTTGTGAATGGCTCTGGCTAATGTTGCGCCAGTTCTCTCCCAGTGCCGCCCATGTGGACAACCGAGCCGTCGAATGGTAAGGTGGTCCTCGGAGGCATCGCAGCACTTCACTGCGCCGCTGATGGATTCCCGACGCCTCGCATCGACTGGAAGAGGGCCCAAGGTGAGCTTGGCGCTAAACACGCTGTAGAGACGTTGTGATACAAGAACAGACTGAAAGCGCGGCAGGAACAATATATAAGGAAAGACAAGCCACGTAGAGACACAGATATGAACGCCTATTTTCGAAACAAGGTTCCGAGCGATGCCCGGTATCTCCCAAAAGCGAGAGGGCTCCCATAGTACGGGAACCCTTTGTTTTTTTTTTTTATGCCCCATTTCATGTATCAGTTGAAATGCTGCGGAGGCTATGCAAAAAAAGTTCAGTCAGCAATATTTGAGAGTACATGCGTCACACGCTTGGCTTTCGATGCTGTTGTTGGTAGTGCCAGCCGAGCCATATAGAGAGAGGAGCTTCCGGCTTTGGTGGGTTGCTTTCCCCGACTTGTTCTCGGCGGCATTTCTCACTTGTCACGTGATCTTATAGGGTCGTGTAGAAGTCTACAGCTCTCGATGCAGAGGTTCTTTGGCACCTGCACTATTAAGTGTCCACAGAGCCCTTCGTAATTATAAACAAGCAAATTTAGCGTAAAGGTGCAGTACATATTGATGCGCTCTCTACTTTCTATGTAGATTGTTTGAGAAATAAGAAAAAAAATGCAGTTTCATATCGGTTGTCATCCTGTTTCAACTTCATCGCCTACCAAGTCACTGGTAGTGATGTCACTTATATTTTTCGCAGTCTCAAGGTAGATCGTTTTTTTTTATCATACCAGCGAGATTACAAATACTGAGTGAAGGGAATGGTGGCTCATAGTTACTTGTCTCCAATGGTGTAAGGAGCTCGCGCGAACTCAATGCAAGACGCAGTGTGCACGACTCTGAAGCGCAATGACGAGATGGTATGTTAGCGAACCAATACATTATCATCACATTCAACTCTTCACGGATTGTTTTTCCGTAGTAACTCCTAAATTTTCGCCCGCCCACACTCATCTGGTAACCGCTGGGTAAAAAACTGTGCTTCATTGAGCCTGGCAGGAAATGAGATCTCCGCGTCGTATCATCCGACAGAGTATATATTTTAATCACGTCATCTGGCTACCGATTCATAACCAACATCCGAGACGTTTAGTCAGTGAAGTTATGAATCGGGTTTGGTTACTTGTTCTATTGTCAGCGTGAGCCTGTTAGATACGTTCAGATGAATCGGCCTTTGAATGCCGATTGCATTTACGAGGCTGCCATAATTAAAAATCTCGTTGTTAGGCTCAAGCGCACCTGAAACGTGTGCTTTAATAGCGTACAGTCTCTAAGTCGCGCAAGGATGGGCCATGGCATAGTATGCTCTAAGTCGCGCAAGGATGGGCCATGGCGTAATATGCTCTAAGTCGCGGCGCAAGAATGGGCCATGGCATAGCCATGGCCCATTCTTGCGCGACTTAGCTATGTTTAGCATGGCTATGCTTTTACCTCTCCGTCCTCTTTCTCACATTTGTATTTGTATGTGTGTATATTTGTATACACACACACAAATAAAATGTGTATATTAGTATTTGTATTTCTCACTGTTTCTACGCTTGTTTCTCTTGCTTCTCGTTCACCACGGTGGCATAGCGGTTATGGTGCTCGGCTGCTGACCCGGAAGTCTTGGGTTCGACCCCCGCCACGGCGGTCGCAATTCGATAGAGGTGACATGGCAGGGGCGCATGCATTGTGAGATTTCAATGCACATTAGAGAACACCAGGTGGTCAAAATTTTCGGAATCCTCGACTACGGAGTCCCTCGTAATAATATCGTGGCTTTTGGGATAAAAACCCAGGTATTATCATCATCATCATTATCATCATCTGTCTTTCCTTCTCCTTTTTTCTATACAATGGTTTACTCTCTCTCCTCCCCACCAGCCCTTGCCTTTCGCACCCCCCTTCCTATATTACACAATACATGGCTATCCTAAGCTGTTCTAGCTAACCTGGATAGCCGATCGGTTACGGCGCTCGCTTTCAGATCGCGTGTACGTGGGTTTGAATTTCGCTTCACCAATAGATTTTTCCCGCCAAAAATGTCTGCTTTTTTCTGTCGCTTTCTCTCTCTCTCTCTCTATCGTTATTTCTTTCTCTTACTGTCCCCTTTCTCTCACTCATGGATATTGCACCCCACACCGGAGAAACCGGAGCATGGAAGCGAAGCAAAGAGGAAGAAGAAAGTGCGTGCCGGCTGATGACGATAATTTTTCTATTTACCACACAAGGTGAAATTCCACCACATTAGATGTGCTGTGAAAATGTGGACAACATGAGCGTGCACCGAAATTACCGTCTGCGCCGTCTGCTGTCGACGGCATAGCTATGGCCGCGCATTCGTCGCCAGGACAATGGTGTATAGGCAAAAGGCAGCTCGCGACTAAACGGCAATTACGGCATGACCTTGCGTGACCCATATTATTTTGCGACCGACTGTACATATTTATCTGTGTCGTCTGTAATTTCATATAGCCGCACAGTGTCGAGTCGTCGGAATAACACCTTAGTTGATTAGTGGAGAAGGACATTCTCCCAAAGTAATGATTTCTAGCCTTCGGACCTGTTCCTTGATGATTCCTGCTCCGTACAGCGTAAATCGTAACTTCCCTACTGCAATTCATGACGTACACTTGTGCGCCTTCATGTTGTGATGCAGCACTCTCCCATGTATTGTCCATGTATTCAGCTTATGTAGAGTGGCAGATGACCTGCACGCTGCTACAGCGTGAAGGTTATCATGCCTTGTAATCGCCGTGAACTGCGCATGATTTTTTTTATCTTTCATCGTTTCAACCTTAACATTGAATCACAGCGTTAGCGCGGTAAGTACTGGCTATGTGCACTAGCTTAATTTTGCTTGCTGCGAGACCACAACCAATAACAACGACCATTGAATTCTGACCTCCGATCATGCTCCATTTACGTCTGGGAAGGCGGCATTTTCATTGAAATGGCATAGATAGCAACTGCACAAAAGTACACCAAAATGCATTTATTTCAAGGACCTCTCATAATGTGCTGATGGCATTGAGACAATCATTGAGACAAGTTCAGTGAGACAATCTGCTTACCGTTCTAGAAGCATTTTCATTTTTCATTACGCGCCTTCAAACTAGGCCCTCCAAATCCTTAATTAGCATGACTAAATTCGTACACAGCTGCTGGTATTGACAACTTAGTTGTTAGAAGTTATAGTGATAGTTTACTTTCCATATCAACTCGTTGGCACTCTCACACTGAAATACGCAAGCTTGCACTTTTACAACAACTTTTCCTGCTTGTACCCTTCGTCTACTGAACTTGAATTGCAAATCGATTGAGTTCACCGAATGCTGAGCAAACCGCTTACGCAAGCTTTCTTTTTTTTTGCGAGTAATCGGTAAAACTTCCTAAAAAGATTTGCGGGAGTAAACCTAACGTATTATAAATATTTTTGAATCAGGAATATCTTTCCCGTTTTTTTTATGAGCTTGCAATAAAGATCAGCACAGAGATCTTCCAGCGGCGAGCTCACATAATTTTCCGAGCTGCCTCACGCGCCTTCAACCATTAATCATTCACAATATTTAGGCGAACTTCCAATCGCTCCCTGTATATCACACTCGAGAGAAAAGTATTACAGGCATCGGGAAATCAAGCTCTCGTTCTTTTCTTTTTTTCTTTCTGTTCGAGATATTTCATACCTCGGAATCAAACATCCTCGAGAAAGGGGACGTCATGCTACACTCGCTGAGCGAAACGCAATATGTGGCCTCCTTTCCTTTTTCCTTCTTTCTTTTTTTCACTTCTACTCACTTTTGACGCTCTCCATCGGTATTAATATGTAGTATTTATCTATCTCTCCGTCTTTTTGTTTCTCTGGGAGCCACCTCATGTTTTTCCCACCCCTTCATTTTCTTTTCCCTCCGAGAAAAGCGAGGGCGTAAGCGTTTCTTTGACGGTTCCGGTCGCTTGATTAGAGGAGCCGGAAAGATAGGGAAGGTAGCCAGGAAAAGAGCAGTTGTGTGAGCGCACGCACAGCAAACGAGCCCTCCCTCTCTAGGTGCCAGGATGTTCGCTGGATCAATGACTGAAAGGAGGAGGAGGAGGAGGTAAGGGGATGCAAGTGAGATAGGAAGGAAACAAGGAACGAGGGTTCGAAGTCAAGAAACACGAAAAGGAAGATGCGAGAAAAGTATGGTAGCGACGACGATATCTCGCGCTCCGCACGCCTTCCTCGCCTTGAAACTTCAATGTTTGGGGCCCCTCCCCGTCTTCCGCTGTAGCCGTGCTTGAGGCGTGAAAGATCAAGCGAATTACGGGTGTGGCGTGTATGAATGTCGGTTTGCAGCATCGGACGGCGTTGGCGCGATCGATGGTTTCCGGCAAGTATGCTCCTCCCGCCCTCCCTATTACCCTACCCCCGATTCCCTCCAATATACGGACGTAGCACTCAAGCTAGGCACTCAGTTGAAGCCTTCGGCGCTTGCCAGACATTTACTAACACAAACGCATGCCTTCTTCACCACACACACACTCACTCGATGTACGCACACACGCAGATTAGCTATAGCTCTCTGAAGGACAGATCGATCACGTTGTGCTACCTATTATCTGTTCGTGCCTTTCGATGCGTATTGAGAAATTCGTGCCACTCTGATAAGCGACGATGCGGGCGGGCGTGGGTCGCGCATGTATACCGGAGTGCGAGTTGCGCAGGGGGAAAGAGGAGAGCACAGGGAGAAGGGGCTGGCATCGTCGGCTCGAGAGCTGACTGCTTTTCTCGGTAAAATCTATATTGTCTAGGGTGTTAAATGAATGCGAATGCGCGCCAATCGATGGAAGCTCGGACGAAAGAACGAAGAAAATGTTCTGAGAAGACACGAAGCGCCGGGTAGTATAAAACGAGCTTTGGAGGTTTTGTTTCACTTTGTATTGGGTTCATCGTTGGGATCGATGTATTCAGAACGGCGTTGCCACCCTTTCCTCTCCAGTATGCACCCAAGCAGTGCTGCCTCGTCTATACTTGTGAAATGTGTAGGCTCGCCAGAATGAGAT